TTACTGGACAAATAAAAAGAACACTGGAGGCAAAAATCTGTTCATATTACAATGAAAGGACTACATCTTAAACCTACAAAAAACAAAGTCTCCCTACTATGCTTTCCAAAGGAAAGTGACTTTCTTTTACTTCGAATGCATACTAGCCTCTCAACCAAAAGTTACTATTAATGTCAATTAGTAACATCATTATGAATTAAAGTCTATTAGTAATATCATTATGAACTAATTTATTGCCTACTACATTTTTGGAGGAAAAGTAAAAAAGTCAAGCCAAATATATATCTTTTTTAAAAAAAGGTAATTGTAATGACTAATGTGAATAGTATCCAATTTTCTAAAACAATTATATTCCTTCACAGCTAACTTCCTGATCAATTTTTCCTATTAGGGCTACTGACTCAAAGAAAAATAGAAGGCATATAATATTAATACAATCTAAAATTTTTAAGGTAAATATAATGCATTTTACTTATCAACTTTAAAAATTGCAAACATTGAATATTATAATAAAATCATTACTTTTAAATGTCCATATTTTGGTATATTTCATTTATTCAGTCATTGAACATTTATGGGAAGGTCTATGCTGTACAAGAAACATCCTGTGGCCAGTTTAATATTAGAAACAAAGGAAGGAATGGAAAAAACATTAAGTAAACACAACGCAACTCCACAATGAAATTTTTTAAAACTATATATAGAAGAGAGAAATTTCAGATTGCCAGCCTCAGTGTTTATGTCTTTACAACTACATATACAAATACAGAAATAGTCATTCATTCACTCAACAAATACCAAGCAATCATTAAACAGAAGACAATACTAGGCTATACGATGAAAGAGTAGTACTAACACTCAAGCTGCTTAAAATTAAGTTGAAGTCAACTTTAGTATTTACCACTCTAGATCTTATACTTTAAGAAATCAACATATTCAATAAAGACAATGAAAATTTGTGTTAGCACTCACTTAAAAATTTAGAACCACAAAATGCATCTGTTTACTTAGTATTTTATGTTTAAAGTTTCACTCTGAACTTTATACATTAAAAATACTCATGTAGATTTGAAAACTCTTTTCACAAACGTAGAGAAGAAAATAACAAAAATAAACTTATAAGGATATTTTATATTTAAATACGAATTTAATGACCTGAGATAGAACTGATTAATTCCAACTTTAAAAAACAGAAACTGCTTTTATATTCACACCAAGAGATACAAATAAAGTTATGTCATTTGTTCTTAATATTTAGTCAACTTCAAAATTAATATAATGTTGAGTACAGTCTTTCCCACAAGAAATCTACTAGTGTTAGCAAAAATATTCAAAACAAAATTTTGTATTTAATGTATGGGAAGATATATGAAATTAAGAAATGTTGAATAGATTTCAAGTATTAAAGAAAACCCAAAAAAAAAAAACAAAACAAGTATCGAATAATTCAGTGATATAAAAAATATAAAGAGCTGTTACATAAATTTAGTATTATTGATTTGTATAGATCAGATGAGTTTAACCTTAAAGCAAAGTTTATTTGACCTTCAAAAAATTCAGGTGCGTCTTTAACAACCAAGGCATTAATCTTAATATTAAGAGGCCAATAATGCAAGAGGCCAGAATCCTACCTTAATGAACTGATAGTAAATTTCTTAGATTCATTATTTTCTTAAAATTTATGTCTAGAGTCTCTGAATCCCCTCTAGCTGATTATGGGAAAAAGAAAGAAAGTAGGAGAAATAAACTTTTCAAACCAGAACCCAATTTTTCCCAGGTTACTTTCCTTCAGTTTACCTAACAAACTTGCAAAGTTGGTTAAAAATAGGAGGTACATTATTTTGTAAAAAAAAAGCGTTTCTATCATTTGAATTTCACCATTTCTGTGTTATGTTTCACACAAATGTCTAAACTTAGTGTTGCCTCACCAAATTCAAGAAATAAATGTAAATCTAAAAATGTTTTGAAAAATCAAAATTTATATGCCTTTGATAAGAAATTATCAGAAAGTTGGCCGGGCACAGTGGCTCACGCCTGTAATCCCAGCACTTTGGGAGGCCAAGGTCGGCGGATGACCTAAGGTCAGGAGCTTGAGACCAGCCTGACCAACATGGAGAAACCCTATGTCTACTAAAAATACAAAATTACCTGGGCATGGCGGTGCATGCCTGTAATCCCAGCTACTTGGGAGGCTGAAGCAGGAGAATCGCTTGAACCCAGGAGGCAGAGGTTGCAGTGAGCCAAGATCGCGCCATTGCACTCCAGCCTGGGCAACAAGAGCGAAACTCCATCTCAAAAAAAAAGAGAAAAAGAAAAAGAAAAAAAGAAATTATCAGAAAGTAAAAAGTGTGGTATCTACCCTTAATAGGGGTTGGTTAAGACTAGCAGATATATTAGCAAACTGTATAGGACGAAACACAATTTAATGACAAATTGTATGGCAGACTAAGCACTATAGGAAATCAATGAAGGGACTACTGATGAAAATAACATTATAGTTCAAAACGGTCTGAGAAAACAAAATTTTCTTTCTGTTTTTGATATGAGTTTTACTCTCGTCACACAGACTGGAGTGCAAGGGGGTGATATGGAATCACTGCAACCTCCAACTCCTGGGTTCAAGCAATTCTCCTGCCTTAGCCTCCCAGGTAGCTGGGACTACAGGTGCACACCACCATGCTGGGCTAATTTTTATATTGTATTTTTTGTATAGATGAGGTTTTGCTATGTTGCCCAGGCTGGTCTCGAACTTCTGGGTTCAAGCAATCTGGCCACCTGGGCCTCCCACAGTGCTGGGATTATAGGCGTGAGCCACCACACCCTGACCAAAAGTTTCTTATTCTTGTTTCTAGCTTAAAAAAGACAAATCGCTCCATTAGCTCTTCTCAAAACAAAAAATACTTAATTTACTGAATGTGTCCACTAAATTATATTTAAATACTTCAAAAGTATTGTATACACAAAAATTGGTAAACTTTCAGACTTCTTTCAGAACACATGTACCTAATAATTCTTGTAGCTATAAGTATCAATGATGCAATGTTGAGAAAATAGCATGTTACAAGAGAGTAAGCATATGTTTAGAGTCATATATGTGAGCAAAATCCTGTTTCTGCCACTTACTTGGCTTTTTAACCATGGGTAAGTTACTTAACCCATGCTGAGTCTGTTTCTTCTTAAGTGAAATAAGGATAACAACTACCTGCTAGGGTTGTTGAAAGAATTAAATGAGATATCATATGTTAAATAACTAGCACAATGCCAGCCAGAAAAATAATCTGTGCTTATTAACTACTATAAATTCCACATGCAAACAAATTTCAACTACAGTGATATCAGAACACTAGAAGACTAGAATGCCCACTTTGCTTTATATTTTATTTCTCACCATAAAAACTAATACACTGACCTTCTATTTCTTAGTAAACATCAATGTGTTTGGTTTCCAATTCTGTAATTCTCATTTATTTTTGAGAATTTGAAAAAGTTTCTTTTTAACTTTTATTTTAAGTTCAGGGGTACAAGTGCAGGTTTGTTACATAGATAAACTTGTGTCATGTGGGTTTGTTATACAGATTATTTCATCGCCCAGGTTTTAACCCTAATGCCCATTAGTTAATTATTCCTGACCCTCTCCCTCCTCCCACCCTGCACCCTTTAAAAAGCCCCAGTAAGTGTTGTTCCCCTGTACGTATCCATGTGTGACAGACTTCTTTTCCCCAAAATGCCATATATATAAACAGTAATTTACATTAATTTGGGAACAGTAATAGATTCCCTGAAAACTAGATTAAAAATTATGCTTTTTAGACCATTTCAATTAAAATTTAGTCAATTAAATAAAATTAAAAACTCATTTCCTTAGTATCACTGGCCAAATCTTAAGTGTTTAATATCCACATAAGGCTAGTGCCTATTGGATAGCACACATATAAAAGATCCATCATCTCAGAAGTTTCTATTGGACAGAGCTGGTCTGTAGTGTTATCATGGTGTGATAATTGAAACTACTTTTCTCTGCTTTTTATTTTTTAATATCGTGATACCTGTCTCTCAAGTACATGCCCCAAAAGGCAGAGGTTGTGAACATGTTGCTCACAACTGAATCTTAGTGTCTAGCACATTATACGCATTCAATAGATATCTTACAGCTGACATTATAGTTTTGTTTTAGTTATACTAAGCTAGCAAAAACTGAGTTGGTAAAGGCCAGTTCTGAAAGCTATAAGTACAACGACTAGACAGTTAAGGAAAAAAAGTAGTAAGTCAACACACATGTGCTCTCAACTGATATGCTCCCAAAGACAATGAGGGCTCCGTATGTACAGACTAAGAATTTTTAGTTAGATACACATATTAACTAGATCACTTAAACAAAGATTAGGCCTTGTCCACAGCCTATTCTATTCAAGAATAGAAAAAATGCCTATTTATAGCTCAATAATTTCATTATTCCCGTATGGGTTTTTCCTAGTTTGGTAAATTTATTTTTAAATAGTATTTATATACTCACACACAATAATTTAACAAATAAAACATTTTAAAAATTCACCGAAAGTTTTATAACATAGAAGATTATGGTGGCTGGGTGTGGTGGCTCACACCTGTAATCCCAGCACTTTGGGAGGCCGAGGTGGGTGGATCACAAGGTCAGGAGTTCGAGACCAGTCTGACCAACATGGTGAAACCCTGCCTCTACTAAAACTACAAAAATTAGCTGGGTGTGGTGGCACACACCTGTAACCCCAGCTACTCAGGAGGCTAAAGCAGGAGAATTGTTTGCACTTGGGAGGCGGAGGTTGCAGTGAGCAGGATTGCACCAGTACACTCCAGCCTGGGTGACAGAGCAAGACTCCATCTCAAAAATAAAAATTTTTTAAACAAAAAGAGTATAGCATCAAGATTTTAGAAAATCCATTTCTTGTCAATGTACCTGGAAACTAAGATAATTGCTGCTATATATGGAATAGAAAATAGTCTAATAATAATTTTGCACTTACACTGCCATATTTTTTCTAAGGGTATATTCATCCAAATCGTCATCAGAGCTGCTATCAGTTGCATCGGAATCCAAACCCTCTTCAACATGAGACAACAGCCCTGTAGCAGACAACGCAAATCTTTGGATTTCCGCAGCTGTACACCGTGCAAAGCCATTTTTTGCATCATCCCACAATTTATTCTCTGCAGTCAATGTGTTAACTTCTGGCTTAATTTCATTGCATTTAGGTAAACTGTTACTCAAAATTGTGGTAGGTTCATGAAACATCTTCATTTTGGGGAGTTGGTGTTTCATAGACAATTTCATCTGCTGACCATAGTGCTTAACAACATGCTTTGCCAGGAGCATCTGCAAATGTTTCTGAGTTCTTCTAGCCTGGCTAAGTAAAATTTTCTGTTTGCTTACACAATGAAGTAAACGAGCATTTACTTCCTCCTCTTTTTCAGCAGCTGAAGAACTAATAGACACATTTGAGTGGCCAGCTACAATTTTCTTTTGAGCACAGTGCAATAAACCCTTTTTAATCTCAGCATCAGTAACTTTATCCAAAAGTGCATTCTCTTGATACCATTTACAGTTTTGTAGTTGTACTTTATCTACATTAGTGTCTTTGGTTATATTTGAATCCAAAATAATTTGTACATCTTTCATGCACTGGCTCGTGGTATCTGATAAAGGTTCCTTTTTGATGAACTCTTCAGAATGAGAAAGACAGATTTTACCAAGCTGAATGTTGCTGCCATTATACAGTATGTTTTTCAGCTTATTGCAACTGGGCTCCCCTAATTTCTTTTGTTTATAATTCTCATTGTATTTATTTAATGTAGAATTAGATCTCATTAAAAAAACAGTCTGGTAATGTTTTGAAGACTGAGGGGAGCCAAAATGTTTTAAATTCACAAAATTAGTATTAAGAGTAGATTCGGGAGTTGGAAATCCAAGCATCTGAGAAAAGGTGTCTCCCTTTAGCTTTTCATCTACAGTTCTTGGACTTTCCATGTAGAGCATCTTGTCAGACTCCATGGTACTTGGCAAAGATGAAAAGCCGATACCCTTTGCTGTTGCCTCCCTCAGAGCTGGGGTCATGGCGATTCCTGTAGATAAGTAATGGAAACCTACAATAATGTAAAAATAAATGGTCAAATATCTAGAAAAAAATTTTATGCTTATACTTTTTTCTAAGGGCAACATGTTCGATATTTCTGATTAAAACATGAAGGAACAAAACTCCTCCTTCATCTCCCAACTCCCAACATTATTTCAACAAAGATAAAGCTATTCTTCCCTCTGACTGGGGGCCTAATAGCTAAAGCTCCAATTAAAGCTACACATTGCTAGTACACAATAGGTGTTCAACAAATATTTGTGGATGTAATTACATCTCAGAATTCCATTTTTTTACATTTAGTTACAGTCCAAAGAAAAAATATTCCAGCCTAGAATCTGATAATAACAATTGAAAATGTGACTCAATTGCGCGCTTTCAGTCAAAAATACGAATTACTTATCTTTATAAAATATAATAAATTGCTCTAAAGTTCTATTCCTGAATTTAATCATCACAGCCTGAACGGTATTAATAACAAGAATTAAAATATAATAAATAATGTGTAAGAAGACCTAAGTGAGGCCGGATGTGGTAGCTCACACCTGTAATCCCAGCACTTTGGGAGGCCGAGGTGGGCGGATCACCTGAGATCAGGAGTTGGAGTTTACCACGGCCAACGTGGCAAAACTCTGTCTCTACTAAAAATATAAAAATTAGCCAGGCATGGTGGTGGGCAACTGTAATCCCAGCTACTTGGGAGGCTGAGGCAGGAGAATCGCTTGAACCCGGGAGGCAGAGGTTGAAGTGAGCAGAGATCACGCCAATGCACTCCAGCCTGTGCAACAGAGTGAGACTCAAAAAAAAAAAAAGAAGACAACCTACGTGAACAGAACTAAAAACATATAACTTCACAGCTGTTAAAAATATGTAATAGTAAAAACTTGCCTAATGCAATGTTTCCTCTAAAAATATCTGCAATTTTACCCTTTTCACAAATGAATATGCACCAGAAGGCATTACTCCTGCCTAGAAAATAGTGGAGACAGTGTCAGATAACCACTAAAGATTTATCCCATAATTAAACAAATTTCATTGCATATTATCAAAAGTATAAATCCATATATTGATTCACAGAAAAAGGCAACCCAGTACCATTAAACATTACGAAGCCTGGTTAGTAAAATAATTGTACATCATCAACAATTATAACTTTTTAAAGATACCTAGTATTTTGTAACCTTGATATGCCATAATTTTTGTTTCAACACATAACAGTTGATAGTCATTTAAATGGATACACTCTCACAGTTTCTGTCCCCAAGTGCTAGTTATAACTCTACTTCCTTTATTCCTACTTAAAAACACAAAACCAAAAGCTGATTCTTTACAAAGTCCAACAAAAATGATCAAGAAGAAAATAAAAGCACAACAATGTCTATGTAATAAAAAAAAAAAAGGGTTATTAGCAAAATGACAGAGTAGGAGAAAATATTTGCAACATATATATCAGACAAGTATTAGTATCTAGATTATAGGAGGAATTTCTACAAATGAGCAAAAGATAGAGCAGTCAGGCACTTCACAGATGATGATATTCAAATGGTCACTAAACACAGACTTAATCATACTAGTAATCAGGGGAATATAGATTAACAAAACAAGAGCCCAGTTTTCCAATCACCAAACTGATACAGACTTTTTTTCTGAAAACATCACATACATATCATGAGACGTAAGACTTCTCATATCTATTGGGATCATAAATTGGTTCAGTAATTTGACCACAATGTAGAAAATGTGTTTGTCACAGGTATCAAAGAGTAATGTTCGTAATGGCAAAACATCCTTTCAAAACAATCTAGATGCCTAACAATAACAAAATAGATTTTAAAAAATGTAACGGAATACTATATTGCAGTTAAAAAGGAATGACTTAAAGCATCAATACGGAAAGACCTTAAAAACAATATCAAGTTAAAAAGAAAAAAGAACACTGTAAAACATATATAGTATAGTACCATATAAATATAATACAAACACAAAACCTTACCATATATATGTATACATTCGTGTCTGTCTCCAAGAATAAAAAGTGAACCAGAAAAATATCTACCAAACTTGTACCAGTAGTTGCATCAAGTTAGGTTCCATAAAACAGAATTAAAAGTAATAGTTTAAGGGGATTTGCATTTTAACTACAAAATCTTACTACTTGAAGGGGAAAGTCTAAATGCAAAATGAATAAATGTTAATAGTTGTTAATACTGAGTGAAAAAAATTATAGACTTTTTTTATGTATACACTTTATTGTATGTCTCAATGAGTCTTCCCCAAATTCAGTATGTCTCAAAATTTATACACTTTTATACAATGCCTCAAAAATAAGCAAATAGATTCCCATTTATCCTAAATGGAAAAAAAAAAAAAAAGATTTTTTTTTTTCAGTTTATACTCTTCTTTTATGGAAATAGAAAAACAATTCTAAAACAAGCTAGCATTAGGAAATTTCTTCCAAGATTCAAGTTGTTCCGTGACCAACTCAAAGACCTATATCTTCTAATCAATAAACACCCATAATAGTATTTAGTGTCTACATTGTTCTCTGAGGCAAACTGCTTTAATCACAGTTCTTGTTGATGTTACAGCAATATTCAAAAGATACTAAACTTTATCTCCCACACCACACACCTGTCCCTCTCAAAAATCTGAACAGAGTTATGAATATAATCAAACTAGCTAGCAGCAGGGACAGAGGTGAAATATCACAAGGCAGGAGAATTCATCTTAGTCCCTGGATAAAGATAGGGAAAAGCTAAATATAACAAGTAGAGAAATGAGGCTGGGTGCAATTGCTCATGCCTGTAATCTGAGCACTTTGGGAAGTCAAGGTGAAGGATTGCTTGAGTACAGGAGTTCGAGACCAGCCTGGATGACATAGGGAGACCTCTTCTCTACAAATACTAAAAAATGTCCTATGTGTGGTGACATGTGCCAGTGGTACCAGCTACTTGAGAGGCTAAGGCAGGAAGATCACTTGAGCCTGGACGTTGAAGCTGCAGTGAGCTGTGATTATACCACTGCCCTTCAGCCTGAGCAACAGAGCAAGACACTGTCTCAGAAAAAAAAAAAAAAAAAAGATACACATGGCTGGGCACAGTGGCTCATGCCTATAATCCCGGCACTTTGGGAGGCCAAAGAGGTGGATCATTTGAGCCCAGGACTTCAAGACCAACCTAGGCAATATGGTGAAATCCAGGCTCTACAAAAAAAAAAAAAATAGTGCCACTGCACTCCAGCTTGAGTGACAGAGCAAGACCCTGTCCAAAAAAAAAAGCAGATTAGTATTTAAGAAATACAATTTGTAGCAAAAAGAGAAAGGGAAAAAATGCAAAGATTAAAAGTGGCTAAGGCCCATTTATGGTAGAGAACTAGAAAAAAACATATACACAAAATCTCTGGTGAGATTTCTAGGCCTTACTGGTAGGATAAGTAGCTTCCAAAATGACCTTAATAATCCCCACCCTCTTAGTATTCATGCCCTTGTTTAATCCTCTCCTAGAATAAGGACTGGATTTAGTGACTCACTTTTAATGAAAATGTAGCAGAGGTGATGAGATGACTTCTGAGATTAGGTTACAAAGAGACTGTGGCTTCCATCTGGCCACCCTCTCTTATTCAGGAAAGCCAGCTGCCATGTTATGAAGTGGAAAGACCAACATGGTAAAGAAACAAGGTCTTCAACGAACATATAGCAAAGAATCTGAAGCCTGCTAACAGCAATGTGAGTGATCTGAGAAACAGATCCTTCCCAGTAATGCCTTGAGATGACTGTTGCTCTAGCCAATACCTTGATTAACAACAGCCTTATGGAGACCTTGAGCCAGAGGCACCCAGCTAAGCTTACATGCCTAGATTCTCAACCCACAGAAATCATGAAATAGTATGTAATTTAAGCCACTAAATTTGAGGGTAACATATTACACAGTAATAAATAATGAATACACTTGGATATGAAGACTTTTAAGCTCTGGTCTATGAAAGACCTGGATATATCATAGCTCTTATTCTGCGATTTCCAAACCTAGCCTAAATAAGTCTCTCTACTTTACAACCAAAAGAAACTAATGAAAATAGCTATGTCTCCTATAAATAAAAAAGATTAAATTATGTTCAGTATAGCTTTAGCATAAAATATAAGATTTCTTCCAATTATTTAAATTATCTAGATATATAATCATTTTATATAACAATGTTTCCCAACTGAATATTCCAAACTACCACTTCTGATGACCTTCATATTATATAAACAACTACACTTACCACTAACACTTCTAAGCTCTTCAAAGGCTTAGATTTTTGAACAGTTTTATTAACTACTGTATCCTCAACATGCAAATCTATCTGACACACAGAAGATGCCCAACAAATACCTGGTGAGAAAATGAGTGGTTGCCAGTATATTTAAAATCCAAAGTTGTCCTTACTATAGCCTACAAAATTGGTATTATCAGGTTCCTGACTACTTTGCCTTCTACAACTCTTTCCATTGAATTACTACACTCCAGAAACACTGGCCTCTATGCTATATTTGAAACACACCAAGCAAGTCTCTGACACAGGGACTTTGTGTTTGCTATTCTCTCAGCCTGAAAAATTTTTTTATAAATAAGATGGCTGGCTCCCTCACTTCATTTGTTTCTCTTCTAAGGTCACCTCATTAGAGTCCTTCACTGACCAATATATTTAAAATAGCTTCAGCCTCTTGGTTCATGATTCTCCATTCCCTTACACTGCTTTATTGCTCTTCATAGCTACCTGACATTATATTACATTCTAGGAAAGAATGTAGTTTAAGTGCAAGAACTCAATGTTCTAATCTCCAGCACTAGAATAATGTCTGGCACACAGTAATTATCATGTATTTCTTGACTAAATTCATAAATGAATTGATCATGATATTTAAAGGCATTTCAATGGATTCTGGTACTCACAAGTAGTAACACCTATTTCAATTACTATTTTTTAAATGTACAAAACAAAAATATATAGAAAGGATACTATGTTCAAGTATGGCTTATTTCATGAATACAAGACTGGTTCAACATTAAAGAAAACAATAGGCCGGGCACGGTGGCTCACGCCTGTAATCCCAGCACTTTGGAAGGCCGAGGCAGGCGGATCACAAGGTCAGGAGATCGAGACTATCCTGGCTAACACAGTGAAACCCCATCTCTACTAAAAGTACAAAAAATTAGCCAGGTGTGGTGGCAGGCACCAGTAGTCCCAGCTACTCAGGAGGCTGAGGCAGGAGAATGGCGTGAACCCGGGAGGCAGAGCTTGCAGTGAGCCGAGATCTCACCACTACACTCCAGCCTGGGCGACAGAGCAAGACTCTGTCTCAAAAAAAAAATAAAAAAAGAAAACAAAACAATAACTAAAACTCACCATATCAAAAGACTAAAGAGAAACCATATGATATGATGTCAATAAATGGAGAAAAAGCATTTGACAAAATTCAATATTCATTCATGAGAAAAACTCAGCAAATTAGCAAGGAGAGGGAATTTCTTTAATCTGATAAAAAGCATCTACACAAATGCCTATAGCTCATCTCATAATTAATGGTGAAAGACTGAATCTTTCTGCCGTAAGACTGGGAATGAGGCAAGGTAGACATTTCTCACCACTCATATTCAATGTTGTAGTGGAAGACCTAGTTAGTACCGTAGGGCAAGAAAAAAAAGAAATAAAAAGCATACAGATTATAAAGTAAGTAAAATCATCTCTATTCACAGATGACATGATTTTCTACATAGAAAATCCCAAGGAATCAAACTCCTCGACTAATGAATTTAATAAGGCAGCAAACGCAAGGTCGACATACAAAACTCATTTATATTTCTATATGCTAGAAATGAAAAACTAGAAATAGAAATTTTTAAACAGTCATAATTCTAACACCTGCAAAAATGCTTTGGTATAAATCTAAATAAAAGATGATGCACATGATCTTTATACTGAAAAATACAAAACACCCATAAAAATATCAAGACCTAAATAGTGCATTACACTATGTTCACAGATAAAACTATTCAATATTGTTATGATGCGAATTCTCCTCAAACTGATTTACAAGTTTAGGCACAAAATCTTGGCAGGACATTTTGCTGATATCTACAAGCTAATTCAAAGATTTATATGAAAGTTAAAGGAACCAGAATAGCCAAAACAAATTGGAAAAGAACAAAGTTGAGGGATTCACACTACTTCCCAATTTATAGTAGCCAAGACAGTGTGGCATTAGCAAAAGGATGAACACACAAATGGAAAGAACAGAGCTCAGGAACAGACCCACGCACATATGGCCTTTTTTTTTTTTTTGAGACTGTCGCCCAGGCTGGAGTGCAACGGAGTGATCTCGGCTTGCTGCAACCTCTGCCTCACAGGTTCAAGTGATTCTCCCGCCTTAGCCTCCCGAGTAGCTGGGATTACAGGTAGCCGCCATCATGCCCAGCTAATTTTTGTATTTTTGTAGAGATGGGGTTGCACTATGTTGGCCAGGCTGGTCTTAAACTCCTGACCTCAGGTGATCCGCCCACCTCAGCCTCCCAAAGTGCTAGGATTACAGGCTGAGCCACTGCGCCTGGCCTGATTATTTTGACAAAGATACCAAGGCAATTAAATGTAGAAAGCCTTATTTCTTAAATCGTATCACTCTAGACTAACTGGACATCCATAGGCAAAAAAAAAAAAAAAAGGGAAACTGAATACATATTTCTACCTTATATAAAAATGGTCAGACCTATTGGCCAGGCGCGGTGGCTCAAGCCTGTAATCCCAGCACTCTGGGAGGCCGAGCAGCCGGATCACGAGGTCAGGAGATCGAGACCATCCTGGTTAACACAGTGAAACCCCATCTCTACTAAAAAAATACAAAAAATTAGCCGGGCGTAGTGGCGGGGGCCTGTAGTCCCAGCTACAGGAGGCTGAGGCGGGAGAATGGCGTGAACCCGGGAGGCGGAGCTTGCAGTGAGCGGAGATCGCGGTACTGGACTCCAGCCTGGTCGACAAAGCCAGACTCCGTACAACTTCTAGCAAAAAAAATTAGAAAAAATGTTTGTGACAATGCTTTAGGCAAATATTTTTTTAGATATGATACCAAAAGCATTATTCACAAAACGCTGCTAAATTGGACTTCCTAAAAATTAAATACTAAACTTTTAAAAATAATTATTTAAAATAGTACTGCTGGGAACCTCTGACATATATATTCAGAAGATAATGTGTTCAAGAGTTAGTAGAAATCAGATGTGCACATTACTGAAAGTCACTGAGTTTATCATTCAGATTAATGCTGAATGGTGGTTTTGACCATGATATAGTTTTAAATTTTATTTTTTTTAGGTATTATTTCATTTATACAGATAGACAATTTGTTAAAGGCAAAATGAGTAAGGAGGAATACTGATTTGAAAAGCATAAAAATTCTTTTAAAAAATTTGTTTTAATTTTTGTGGGTACAAAGAAGGTGTATATATTTATGGGGTAGACGATGAGTGTGCATGGTGGCTCACGCCTGTGATCCTAGTATGGTGGGAGGCCAAGGCGGGAGGATCACTTGAGTCCAGGAGTTTGAGACCAGCCTGCGTAATATGGTGAGACCCTGTCTCTATTTTTAAAAATATATATACACATATATTTTTATCCAAGACTAATTGGATATATCCAATAGATATGAAGAATTGGTGTTCATATCCAAGTGTATTCATTATTTATTACTGTGTAATATATTACCCCCAAATTCAGTGCCTCAGGTATATATATTTTTATATATATATAAATAAAAATTTAAAAATTAAATTCAAGATAGAGTCAACAACGTTTGACAAACACTTAACAGGAATTAAGGGAAAGGAAGGAATCAAGGATGACTCCTAGGTTTTTGGCTTGAGCACTGGGTGGTTAGGTCAGTGGTGCTATTTTCTGAAAGGGGGCGGACTCAGGGAGAAAGTAAGTTGAAGAAGAAAAACATAAAAATTTCTGTTTTGGATATGTTACTTTTTAAGTGTCTATTAAACATTCAAGTGGAAACAGCTATAAAAACAAGTCTGGAGTTCAAGCAAGAATTCATAATTAGAGAGATTATTTTGCAGAGTCACTGGCATATAAATAGTATTTACCCTAGGGAGTGGGTATAAACAAAGAAGAGAAAGGAGCCCAGGACAAAACGTGGGGGTTTACTAACATTTACTTGAGCAAAGGAAGAGGAGCTATAAAAGAGGAAGAGCCCTAAAAGAAAACTGAAAAGATCATCAGTAAGATAGGAAGAAATCCAGAAGTGTATGAAATCAAGATACCAACGTGTTTAGAAGTGTATAACATGGTTGGTTCTGTCAAATGCTAAAGAGTGGCCTTTTTTTTTTTTTTTTTTTTTTTTTTTTGAGACGGAGTCTCGCTCTGCCGCCCAGGCTGGAGTGCAGTGGCCGGATCTCAGCTCACTGCAAGCTTCGCCTCCCAGGTTCATGCCATTCTCCTGCCTCAGCCTCCCGAGTAGCTGGGACTACAGGCGCCCGCCACCTCGCCCGGCTAGTTTTTTGTATTTTTAGTAGAGACGGGGTTTCACCGTGTCAGCCAGGATGGTCTCGATCTCCTGACCTCGTGATCCGCCTGTCTCGGCCTCCCAAAGTGCTGGGATTACAGGCTTGAGCCACCGCGCCCGGCCCAAAATTACTTTTTAAGGAATGTATTGAGAAGTCTTGCTTTTAAAAAGTTACATATTAACTAAATATCCAACTCCAGCAGCCTCTAGCCATTCTATCCTATCTAAGTGGAGGAAAAACTAAGAAGCAGGAGTGAAGTTCACAGCCCAGGGCACAAGCTCACTGAAAGACAGACTTTACCACTGGCATATAGAACATCTTTTCTACCCTTACATCTTATTAAAAGCCTGTTTACTAGCGTTCTTTTTACTCAGCACATCATGTTCAGCTTTCAAGAGAAAACTACAAGGCATACTAAAAGGCAAACAACATAGTTTGAAGAAAAAGCAAGCATCAGAACCAGATTAGATATGGCAGGGATGTTGGAATTACCAGATCAAGAATTTAAGACAACTATGATTAATATGCTAAGGCCTCTAATGGAAAAGCAGCCAACATGCAACAAATGACAGGTAATGTAAGAAGAGAGATGGAAATTCTAAAACAGAATAAAAATGAAATGCTAGAAATCAAAAACACTGCAACAGAAATAATGCCCTTGATGGACTTAGTAGTAGACTGAATGTGGTGGAAGAAAGCAGCACTAAGCTTGAAGAGATGAAACCTCCAAAACTAAAAAGGGAAGAGAACAAAGATGGCAGGGGGTTTGGGGAAGAAGAGAATATCCAACCAAGAACTGTGGGACAATTACAAATGGTGTAACATATGCATAATGGGAATACCAGAAGAGAAAAAGAAAAGAAAAAAATACTTGAAACAATAATGACTAAGAATTTCTCCAAATTAATGTCAGACACCAAACCACATATCCAGAAAGCTCAGAGAACACCAAACTATCACTTAATAAATGAAGCACTATATAAAATTGTATTACCTGAAATTTATATACAAAAGTGTTCTTACAACAAATAGTCCATTTAAAAATTTTTACTAGAAATTACTTCATCACATATTTTCCCCAAATAGATCAAAAGCTACATGAAGGCAGGTGTTATGTGTTCACTCGTCATGGTATTCTAGAATAGTTTATGGCACATAGCAGGCTCATAATAAATATTTCTTGAATAAATACTACCCAAAATGGTAAAATTATTTTAAAGTTTCAGGGAAGAAGGTTCATGAGATATTTTATTGTGAAGGAGTCTCAAGGCAAAAATATTAGGAAACATTAGTATAGAATGTAACTGTCCAATAGATATATGACGTGGTTACACATGTAATTTTAAACTTGCTACTACTAGACATATTTTTAAAAGAAACATGAAAAATTAAATTTCATCCTATATATAAAATATCATATATCAACATGTAATCAATATATAAACATCTTGATATTTTCTATTCCTCTGTATTTGTGCCAAGCCTTATAACCAGGGATCAATTATCGACTGTTGTATTTCAGTCC